CGGCTCATGTTCAGCCGAGCATCAATCAATACCCCCAGGTCCATTTCCTCTACGCAGTCCTCCAGCCACACCGCCCCAAGTCTGTAGCGTCACCTGGGGTTGTTGTAGCTGAAGTGAAGAACATAGCAAACAGAAGGTTGCGTGATACAGAGGGTACCCATACTGAAACCCATACTGCCATTCAGACTGGATCTGAACAAGATAATGTTTTTTCTTTTGGTGTCACAGTGCAAGTGGCATCCCACATAGAGTCCTGGTGTAGAGCTGATCCTGCTGTGGTACTGCGATGGCATGCACTGTGAAATCTCAGCCCACCAAAGACAGTGGGATTCTTGCCATTTGTTCTACAACTGCGTCAATGACTTCTGTTATCACAGGTGATGCAATACCTCTGCCGCAGTGATACAAACGTCACAATGTAGGTGCTTGACCCTGTGACATAAAAGCAAACAAACAGTAATAGAAGAAGCCAGCCAAGGCAAATAAAGAACTATAGAAAAATAAACTACTGAGGGGTTTTTTGAGAGAAGAGAATGTCTGTTCTTCTTAATTAGCTTTGAAGAAGTATTTTAAGCTTTTCTTAAGTAGTGAGAAGTATTTTGACTATAGCAGAAGTCCAAAAGAAATGCTTCTCACCCTGCAAGGGTAGAGATCAGTGCTTCTTTCCCCAGTGGCGTAGAAATATGAATTATACGAAGAACTGTTAAAACATTATTCTGAAGTATAGATTGGGTTATCAGTCAGCTATGTCCACAGGCATGCTGTTCCTTACGAGCTGAGCCCACTGAAAGGTAAGGAGCCAGTCAAAATCAATCATTTCTGACCTGTTTTTAGACTTAATGAATGTGACCCACTCTGCAGACCAGATACAGCAGACAATCCATCCAGTAATGGTGAAGAAGAGAGCAAGATGAAAATCTGCACAGAATAGAAGGCATGTTTTAAGCTGCATGTAATGCATGTCATAAGCTCATTCAGTGTTTTTCTACGAAGTCCTCACCCTCTCATGACAAACAGCAGCAAAAGCACACACTGAACCTGCTCACATAGTAGCAGAGTTCCCAGTGAAGCACGTGCTTCTCTGAACTTCAGGCACAGAGCTACCTAAGCCAGAGAGCATTTTGCCTGAGGCCTTCACAGCAGCACAAATCTTCTCATGCTCCCTGTTCTAGATGGAAGGAGGCCATCTAGAAAAGGAAAGCAGTGTGAATTCTCCTGTATCATCTTCTTCCCTGACTTTTCAAGATTTTATTGGCAGTGTCATGCCCTGCAAGGGGCAGTTTAGAAAAAAGTCTATCTTGGAAAAATCTAGATATCCCGTGGGTTTGTTGGACAGTCCTCTGTACCAGCCAAAGGAAAGGGGAAACTTATTAGATGTAAATCAATGGGCTTATAGGTTAAATACAGACCCAACCCTCAAGTTTGTTTTATTAGTATTTGTGGTTTCATTAACCAGCTGTGTATTCTGCTATTTGTACTAGTATCAAAAGCATTCCTGGAATAAATCCAGTAAAATCCTATATTATAAGGCAAAGCTGCTTCTTGCACCTGGTGCAAGATGAGAAGACTGAGAAGAGTGATTTTCTGGCTCTGTGACCTGCCTTTGGTTTTGGAACAGAGTACATGCATTTCCATCTGTATATCTGAGCGATGCATTTTCACTACAGCATGTAGTAAATATACTCCTGTATACTCTGTATGCTTTTAGCTCGTGCGTCCCGCATCTGAAACACAGAATACAAACCGTGCAGTTAAAGCTGTTGCCTTCACATTTGACGCTAAGGGGAGCTCTTGTAACAGAAGATAATGACCTGCGTCTTCTCCGGCTGCTGCACAATGTAAAGCAGGTATTAACATGAGGCTCTCCTTCTGGCCTTATTTTGCAAAAGCTAAGTGTGTTTATCTCATTTAGTAAAAAAAAGACCTTTTCTAGGCAGGCAGCTAAAGTTCACACAGCTAGTGAAATAATTGAATGTAAGTGCATGCTACTGAGCTCCTGCTTATCCACTGAAGACAAAAGCTTCATTTTTGTCTTTCTAATCTTTAGGTTTCAGCCTACAAATTAGTCTAGTCCCTTTTACCCTTTGCTTTGTACAAAGTCTAAAATGCAGAGCGTATACTTCATCTGAAAGTAAGAATCTCTGTTATAAAACAGTATCTTACGTATTCCCAGTTATTTTTAACAAAAGAAACAAGATGCTAGCATTTTATTCATTCTCTTCTGTTTTCTTACAAGAAAGGATAAAAAAAAAAGGAAAGTTAAGACTAGCATAGATATTTTTTGGTTACACAGTTGTGGCCAGCATGCAGCAAAGTTTTTTTGCTCCCTAAAGGAGGGTGATCCAGGAGGCAAGGGTGACCACAGTCAGGGCAGTGCCTTCACTGGTAGGTGACCATGTCCCATCCCATCTGATTATAGTGAGCAGAGCTGGATGCTGTTACACATTCTGTTGTTACCACATGCTGTTACCACAGTCCCAGACCATGCAAGTGATGAACAAGATCCACAGCTCAAATAGGGATTCCAGTCAGGAGTAAGTGGAGACAGGGCCATAGACTACGTCAGTCCAAAATACATTTAGGGGACAGGCAGATACAGTTGGGAGGCAAATCTACAATTTACATTAATGGGGTAATGCAGGAAACCTGTGGCATAGCTCCAAGATCCATCCAAGAGGCAGAGCTGGAGATAGAACTGGTGATAGATTTGCATATAACATAGCCCGGGCAATATCCTTGCTCAAGATTGTTCTGGTCAGGACCTAGTGCTCTGACAGCCTCCCTGCCCAGCAAGTGTATCCTCACACCTCACAAACAGGGGCTCAGAAGGGATTTACTGCAAAGTGAGCTAATTGCTGTGGTTTTCATAGGGCTGTTTCAGTGGCCACAGATCCAGGACATGGAGAGGGAACTGCAGAAGGGACATGGCATGGGTGACTTGGAGATTGGTCAGGTTTGAGAGAGGGACATGGCACAGCCTACTTGGAAATTCACCTTGAGTACGGTGTTCAGTTTTGGGCCCCTCACTGCAAGAAAGACATTGAGGCCCTGGAGCATGTTCAAAGATGAGCAACAAAGCTGGTGAGGGGTCTGGAGCTGGGATTGTTCAATCTGGAGAAGAGGAGGCTCAGGTGAGACCTTATTGCTCTCTAGAACTACCTGAAGGGAGGCTGTAGTGAGCTGGGGTTGGCCTCTTTTCTTGTGTAACAGTGATAGGACTGCAGGGAATGGCTTCAAGCTGCGCCAGGGGAGATTTAGGCTGGACGTTAGGAAATACTACTTCTCTGAAAGAGTGGTCAGGCACTGGAATGGGCTGCCCAAGGAGGTGGTGGAGTCACTGATCCTGGGGGTGTTCAAGGAAAGAGCGTTTGGATGTTGTATTGAGGGATATGGTTTAGTGAGTACTATTGGTAATGGGTGGATGATTGGACTGGATGATGTTGTAGGTCTTTTCCAACCTTGGTGATTCTGTGATTCTGTGATTCTGTGAAATGGGAGATGGGTGCTAAACGCCACCCCTGATGAGACCACACAGGACTGAGGGAACAGATTCAGGCTGTTCTTGAGGTGCTTTGGAGGCCACACAGGCTTGGGGAGCATTTACTCAGCTATGCTGGGAGCTCAGAGTCCAGGACCAAACCTGAATCTCAGGGGATGGAGGCCTGCATTCACTATACAAAAGCCACCAATACGGTACACAATTCATGAGAAATAAATGTGTGTGATTACTGAAAGAGAGGCACTTAGTTCTTTTATTGAAGGCAGTTCATTTTAATTATGATACCTTTGCACCTTTCTTTAAATTTGACTGCAAATTTTCATGGACTCTATTATCTTTTATACTGTAGTAAACCAATTAGCCCAGTAACACTTTTCTCCTCTGACCATCCAGGTTGTTTTGGAAAGTGCTGGTCAGTGTAAGTAAGGGTATTACCATCTGGGACAGATACTTATATTTGTGAAAGACAGGTCTAGAGCCTGCAATTAACAAGATGTAATGGTTCCTTGTTTAGTCAGTACTGCCATCATCATGCCTATGTCTCTGCCATTTTCACGCAGGTCTTACACTTCTTATATCTTGTCAGGCACAATTGTGTGATCTGACAGGTTTTGTGGGAACACATAGGTGGATAATGGTGTCTGCATGCAATCCTGGTTTGTTCTTTTGGCAGAGGAGAATACCACCTTCAAGAGAAGTTGATTATGTCCTCCCCTGCAGATTTAGTTTTGAAACAGAGAGCTTTGAGCTTTTGTAAACTGAGAGACCTGTATGGCTTTTCAGACCAAAAACACACTGATCAACTTTATCTAAGAAAGCAGACAGGAAATAACTGGGAGTGAATGATTGAATTTTGAATTTTTGCATGGGCTAAAATAGATTGAAACTTCAAAATAATTACAGTAGCGTTAGCAGATTCCTACTTATCAGTTATAAAACAGCTATGATAAGAATTGACACTTTGTTACCTGGAAACTACCAAGCAAGGCAAACAAGCGCACAGATTGGAACTTGTTAGCATTCACTCTTGTGATTGCTCCAACAGAATAGCAAATAATTGATGGCAGTGAAAACATCTACTGAAGATCATATGAAAAAAAAAAAAAGAGGGAGCTCATGCCTATACCTAATCATGAAACCATGGACACTTTAAATGAAGCTGTGATTAGTTTTAAGTACCTACTTCTGACACCTGTTTCCATGAGAACAGGAGCAGCAGCTAGAAATGACGTAACCAGGGATCTTGTTCATTGTACAGACACAGAAACTGCAGATATCACACATAAAAGCATTAGGACCAGTCAGCAGAGTGTTTTCAGGAGAAGAAAAAGGTTTATTGATGTTTCAAAGATCCTTAGAACACTTCCAGCAGAACTCCTTAGAACTAACTTCACTGTTACTTCTTAACAAAAACAACACAAAGGTTTTTAAATGCAATTTTTGATTTAAAGGTAAAATGATTAGCAAGGAGTAATTTTGTTTTGAAAACCTGTACCTCTCAAGCAGCTAACACCATGAGGACTGAAAGAGAAACTGAGTGTAACCACAATAATGTATTACCCTACTCCTGCAAAACTGCCTGATAAGCATTCATTTGCCTTATATTACATCCTTTTCCTAGTGATATTCCATTGCACATAGTTTTGATTTGATAATAAAACATTATTTGTTGCTGAATCCTGTTTACTGTGAGCAATTTAAAAAGAACAATCTTAGTTTTATAGTCTTTTCTTGGACCAGAAGTGTTTTGGAACAAACAATCAGGCGTATTTTCTAATTAATCGGGCAGTATTGTAAAATATCTTTTCATGAAATACGATGCTATGGCTTTCTCTTGATCAACATGAATGATGAAGGAAAAGGAGCGGAAGTCAGTGGTGTTCTCCCAAGGAACATACCTTTTATACATGACTGAGTATTACACTTTAGGGTAAGCTGTCTTTCAGATGTCTTTAGAAGTATGGCTGTTTGTGCAGTCTGTCAAATAGTAACTTTTTTTTTCCCCTTAAAGGAAAAACCTGCGATAAAACAATGAACTCAGCCTGGAGGCTGCAGGTAACTTGTGTGCTTGTTACTTTTGCGGAAAGAGATTGGAAAGATTGTAATTGATGCAATTTCTCGCAATAACAAAATGTTCCTGACCTTTTGTTGATCACAAAGCAAATGTACTTTTAGTATATCAAGTAAAATCAAATTTAGTTCCTTTTTCCCTCCTGCTAGCTCTCAAGGATGATGTTATATACCAGGTTGCTTAATAAAAATGTCAACTAAGTAGAATAGGATAGAATGTTGTAGTTGAAGACCCTTCTAGCCACCAAACAGCTACCTCAATTTTCCTATTTCAGCATTTTCCATATTTAAAAAAATGTATATATGTGTGTGAGAGCAAGGAAGCTGTCAGCATGACATTGAAGAGCATAACATTTTAACGCGGGGAGATTTTTCAATGTAAGGATATAGGAAATGGTTCATAGACAATTACTTATTTTAACTGCCAGGCAGATTCTGCAGGAAACACAAAAAGCCCTGTCAAGAAGTGCTACTGCAGGAATAAAGTAGTTATTCTGCTTGTTGGTATGCAGGGGTTCTACTTCAGCAAGCTTTGTATGATATAAACCCAGGGACAAAATCCTCAGTTTCAGTAAAAGAGGACTGGAGTGCAAAGCAAGAAGAACACAGTGCTTTCTAATCATTCCTAATCTGTCCTCCCATCCCACCTGGGAGATCAACGCAATCAAGTTTTATCAGCTGTTCCTGCTTTTCTGCTTCATCTCTAGTGTGACTTCTCACACCAAAAGACAAGATAGCTGTGAGCAGGCTTAAAAAGTTTATTCCAAACATTAATTCTTTACATTGACATAGAACTTGGGTAATGATTATGCAGAGAACTTAACAACTAATTAGGTTACGTTTACAGTGTGGTCTAAAAATTTGCTACTTATGTTTGGAAATTTGAGGAGTACTGGACTTCAATAGTACTGTAATATTGAAGGGGGGATTTTGTAGCTGCCACCTATAATTGGGGTGTGATTTTACTGCAGATATGGTGCCAAATTGACCACAAAATGGTAGGGTGCTACATCCTAAGAGAAGGAACACCTCCACTCTTTGGAAGAGGAGATTTTAGCCTGTTGCGAGAATCTGCTTGGCAGACTTTCATAGGATAAAGTCTTGGCTATAGGAATGGCTCAGGAGAGCTGTCTGAGTTTCAAAGATCATGAAAAATAGTCCATCCACTTGTGCAGGAAATCAAGCAAAGGCGGCAGGAGCCCAGCACGTATGAACAAGGATCTCCTGAGGAAAAACAAAAATAGAAAGGGAGCATGAGGAGGTAGAAGCGTGGTCCAGCCTCAACTATTTTGTGATTCTATCTCTGGCAGGTGCTTCTCCTTTTCTATCATTTTGTTTCTGTTGCCTGGCTTCTCCAAAACCAGCTGGTTAACCAAAGAAATGCCTTAACAGGGAACAAAGTCAGAGTTAGGAACAGACCATAAAAAGATCACTGTTGGCAGTCCTCTCACATGCAGTCCTCGAAAGCTCATGTCAAGTAGCTGAAATATATTGCTGCCTCTGTAACCACTGTTGAGTCACAGTCAAATATCAGTATTTATACGCTCAGTAGGGAGAACTAAGGGAAAGAGTCAGAATTGAAAAACTGTCTGAAGTGGAATTGCACGTTTTTTCCATAAGTGTCAGTTCTACAGCTGTTACGGTTGTTAGCAGTTTGACTGTAACTGAATAACACACAATGCTCTAAATGAAAGGGAACCATGATAACCTGTCTGGATCCAGCACACCCATTAGGTATCTCAGGCTGGATTTAGGAGAGAGTTAATGCATCATTCAGCATATATTATGGAAGTGCACAGAGCAGCTAAGGGATGTGCAGGTGTACAGGAACTGCTGAATCACGGCCTGAACCTCATTGACCACCTGAGGCAAGCAATGAGTCAGCCACGGGAACACAGGTGAAGGTAATTCACCTGTGCTACTGGAAGGGGTGGAGCCTGGCTGCACCTCTCTTGGACCCCATTTAAGTGCTGACTGCCACTCACTTCTTGTGGAGAGTGTTGTGAGCCTATAAAGTCTCTTCAAGTAGGAGTTTGAGATTCTTCCTAGAGACTTTATTTTGGGCAGGAGGTTAACTAGTGGTAGGACTGGGGGCACTTGAGGTATTATCCTTATGGTACAGAACTCTTTACCCCATCACAACCTGTCTTGCCACCTTCCCCACATTGGGAGTGATGTATAATCAGAATTAATAATGGTACCTCTGACCAGGAGGACAGTTGAAAAGACAGTATGACTGGGCAGTAATGAATAGAGTCCAGCTAAGTCGTGGAAGGCAGCATGGGTGATATACAAGGCATGCTCTCTCATATACCAATGGAGTATGGCTACCTCAGAATTTTTTATATTGATTGCTATCATGTGCGTTTAAGTAGTATGATCTATCAAAATAGCAGTGGATTGCCTCTCATTAGTAGTAATGGTTGTGGAAGCAGTATTTGAACCATGTAACTGGCTATTTCCTCTGAGGAGGACGAATTTTAACAACATTGAAATCTTGATGCTACATTGAAGCTGTGTCTTAATGACCATTTTCAATTATTTCAATGAAAAAATAACTTATGGACTGTCATATGTAGTCTCGTGCCTAATATATAGGACTTTTTATTGTCCTTGTTAAAATCTATCTGAAAAGATATTTGCACTCACAGTCACAAGTAGAATATGTTGGAGCTTCTTAAAAAGAGAAGTAACTACTCCTTGAAAAGTTTTCCTAAGTTAATCCAGCTTTTCTTCCTCTCAGAAGTCAAGAAATATCCAAGAGATACGTGCAATTGTAACCTTCTTGATATTTGCTTATCCCTAGATTCCACTTGCAGCCAGTCTTGCTCTGAAGAGTTCTTACTTATGTTTTATTCTGGATGACTCAATGGAGAAGGAGAAAGAAAAGTGGAAACAGCCTAGAGAAGAAGCTGAGGAGATAGAGACAGGTTATCCTCCTATGCGATTTTAATGGTAAGAGGCTAGGATTTCAGCTAAGAAAGGTAAGAGTATTCAACTCCCTCTTTATTTGCAGAGAGGGAAATCATCACAGTGACTTCCATTGCTGTATTTTTCACTGCTGCATTCCTCTGCACTGCCAAGGGAAATAACATTTGTCCCCTCTTTCTTGGGGGACACTTGTTTTTATTGTTGTCTCTGGTCAAATCCACCAGCACTGATTTAATAGGAGATGAAGGAGCTTTTGTGCCCTTCTCAGCAGTTTCAGCATGTGTGGAGCATGTTTCTGGGTCATTGGATGCAATTGGCGTTCAGATGAAATAATACTCCTTAGGAGTGGTAAAGACACTGTGTGCAACTTACCTGCTGTGTGGTTATGAAGTCTAGTGACTTAGCAAATAATGAGGTAAGTGGTGATACTCAGTTGTAAGTTATGTTCAGGTAAAATAATGGATAAACTTAAAATCTTCTGCTTCAGCTTTGTACTTATGCAGAATAAACATATCCATAGCGGTATGGAAATGTAAAAGGTGTTAATAATTATTGACAGATGATTATGAACAACTCCTACCTGAGGCTGGTTTTTAGAGTGCATGAGTGGGCTCAGCTATGGGCTACCATGGCAGGTCTTTTTGTTCATTTAACGGATAGCCAAACACGCTGACTCTGAGACTGAAATCTTAGTGGATGTGATTAGAATCAACAGCTCCTCTCAGAAAAACCGGTAGAATCTCCTTTATAAATCCGAAGCAATATTTCTCTCCCCACTGCTGCCTGAGAAGGTAAACTCTAGCTAAAATAGTGATAGAGCAGTGCTGGCAGAGCAACCATGGTTGTTATTGTTTCTTTATATATTTGTTGGAAAAAAGAGGTTCTAGGGAGACATAATACTCTCTTTGAAGCATTGTGCACCTGGGCTCCTACTGTAACTAGTATGTTCTTGTGCAGCAATTTCCAGCTGGTGAAATGTCTGTCCTTAGAGGAAACATCCTCCCCAGCTACTCCAGGTCAGTGTAATCAATGGCTTCTCAGAAGGAAAATAACTCCTTTGTTGACTTGCTGTTCACTTAGTATATCCACAAGTACACTAAAGGTTTGTGTAAATAACAAAAGGTGTTTGCTGTTGAATAAGACTAGAATTCCCTTATTGCACTATATATACTTCAATATTTCTTTCATTCCCCAACTTGAGCCATAAGTAGGAGAGCAAACTGTAGCACTATCATCAGGTACCTATCTTTTTTAACTAAATGATTCACAACATTGGTTGGAGAAGATAGGCCTTGTACTCTTGAAAAAGCAGGATGGGAAATTTAAAATTAGTAGGTGAGATAAAGTGACTTTACCTAAAGAAATATGATAAAGGGAAGATTTAGCAGCAGCTGGCTTCATCAAACAACCAGTAACTCCAAGTAAAGGTAGAGAATTCTTCTTATTTGCTGCTTCTGACAACTATCGTTTGGCTAGCGTCACTGTGAAGACCTATGTTATTTAGCAGAGAAGGAAAGCAAGATGTTCTCTTTACGCTGATGTAAGAAAAATAGCATTAATTTATGATACCTCAAACTGCTACTGTGCTAAGGGACAGTACTTGCTGTTCTCAAGTTCAGCAGCAGGTTACTTTCTCTTGTTGCTGAGCTTTAGCACCCAGGTATTTTCTGACTACTAAGTTATGGGAATATTGGATGATGCTGGAGGGACCTGAAGCTAATTCTGCCATAAAGAACACAAAGTACAGATGCTCTCCTTGCCTCAGGCATGAGTTAGAACATTCTTTTTTTCTTACCTTGTGAAACAAAAAGTCGAAAGGTAAAGAAATATGAAAGGATTTTTATATTAGAAAATAAAAATAATATACACAGTGTAATAAGCAGGAAAAGTGATTGCAGTTTTTTTTTAAGTGAACTTGGTATTACTCTATGGTGACCATTTTCACAGCCCAAGAAATAATGCCTTGATGTGACTTTTGTACTGTTGAGAGAGATGAAGCTATACTGACCATGCAGAATACTGAAAATAACAATAATATTTTCCTAGAGACATGCAAAATATTTCCCAAGGTCTAATTCTACAAACTTCCTCAGAAGAGGAGGGGGAAAAAGCATGGAACTCAAACTCCATTTCCTCCAAGGACAAGACTGAAGCTAGCCGAGCCTGCTTTGGTTGGCTGCACTCCTGAGCAACAGCTGCATGACTGACTGATACAACACCAGCCAAAAAAATGACGCAGTAAATCTGTGCAATGAAGATTCCAGAAATGTGCAAGCATAGGATCATAGAATAGTTTGGCATGGATCTCTCTAATTTAAACTGCCATTTCCTTTAAGACTTACAGGGAGTCTTCAAATGTAGAATGTTTCATCTTCCATTTTAACACTGGATGCAGTGCTTTTCATTTAATTCTGCAGTACAAATTTCATCCAACAAGAGGATTTCAAGTGCTTCAGTGAAATATGGTGTACAGATCTGTATGTGTTTTTCAGATGTCTGTTTCTGATACCTATTTCATGTTAGCATTTGGGCAGATTTGAACTGTCCCTTTGCCCTGTGCTGTTGAGAGAAACAAAAGGGGAAAGTTGTGTAGAATATGTGAATCTTTAGTGAAGCTTCCTTCAGAGAAGATTCCCAAGTATTTTTGGAAGGCTTGTAGAGGTCTAAGAAGTAGTATTTGGAAAGATGGCCTGTTCAAGAACAGAACAAATACCTGCAGACTATGAAATAGAGAAAGACAAAGACAGTGTATGTTGGAAGTAGTGACTAATGAGCTGCACACAGCTAAAAGAACACTTGAAGAAATAGCAAGACAAGGTTTAAAAAAAAAAAAAAGCCAGGTACTTTTTGTCTGCCTATTGCCACTAAAGTAAATCATTAAGGTCTCTTAAGAGACTCTTAAAAAGCTTATTAAACCGTTTTTGGAAGCTCTAGCTCATAGAAGTTGACTCTTTGCTCATATAATGAGCTTAAGGAGTTTTTGAGAGGCTTCAGCAATCTGAAAGAATGATATTTTTGGCACAAAGATGGATACACAATACATTTCAGAAGAAAATTACTGTTTGTTAGAGAGGAATCAAGTGTATTGTTCCTTTAAAAGGAACAATTAGGAGCTGGTTTATCCAGAGTTTTAAAAAGTGGACAAAGAACATTTTTGAGGTTTAACTAAAAACAATCTTGCGTTGGGTATGATTTAATTCTAAAAATCAGTCTGGTTACTTCACACCAATTCTGCTATGAGCATATTGCTGAGAATATATCTACATTCACTTGTCCACTGCAGCTTGTAGGCC